TGACTCTCTCTCATCGATGTTTCTAACTCTCTATCTCTCTCCCTTCCTCTCTGTATAAAATCAATAAATATTAAAAAAAAAATTCCTACTTATAGACTAAAATTTTTCAAGTTAAACATTCCCCAAATTAAAAGAATTTTAGACGCCATCTAAGATGTTTGGATAGCCATTTACTCTCTCTGTTCTTAGAGAACTTACTGGAAACATTCCAGAAACACTAATCTACATGCTTTCTTATTTCTATACATATGTAGGTAGTTCATTTGAGGACTAGAAGGCTGCTTGAGTGAGTGTCGAAAAAGTGAGCTGATGGAATTAGGTAACCTTGAGGGATATGTGTGACCTAGATCAATCTGGGTGAACGTCCTGCTCCCATGGCAGAACAGAACAGATCTGGCAGAAATTTCATGTTCTCAGACTTTGGTCTTTTCCACCAGACAGCAATGGGTCAACACTAGATATTCTTACTCTTGGGTATCTATGCTCACCCACTTCATGTATACTCTAGATTGTGATACTCTAGATTATTCTAAAAATGGTCTTACTATTTGATTGTGTAGCTATTTTTAATTTTTATTGGAGAAAAATATTACTTTTCATTTCTGGGGTGTCTAATTTTGCTCTTATTGTCTATTATAGGAAGGTATAGATGGCCTACTTTATGTATTTGATTATCTGGATAAAATTTTAGCTTCTTAAAAGAAAATAACAGTAACAGGAGCTGAAAAGAATAAGTCTTCACCTCATTATCTTTGCTTATCTTTTTAAGTTCCTTAAAGTTTGGTCCCCTGATGGTCGCCTATCAATTCCAGTTCCTACAGATATCCCAGCTGCACTGACCCTTCACTTATTTCAGCTTTGTGGTGATTACACTTCTGGTTGCCTCTTAGTGGGTCCTTCGCTGGCTACCCAAATCTTGTTGGTTCCCAAAATCCGTAAAGATTTTTTGTGCTGGTGAAGACCTCTCCATTCTCAGTCCTAATGGAAATGTCCCTCCCCACCAATAGCTGCATCTCCTAACTTTCTTGCATGATGGATTCCAGAACAGGGCTTCTAGATCTAGCATCACACTTTTGCCAATTTTGTTCCCTGGACACTTCATTCCTATCCTGGTCCTGGACCTACTCTCTGGCCTCAGCTCCTTTATAAAGAATATCCCTGAAGATGACCACCTGCCTGAGTTCTGAGCATGGTCCTGGAGTCTTTGATGCTGTGCTTTTTCAAGCCTCTTGCTTTGCCTGGGAAAACCTTGTATTTGTATTTGTTAAGTTGGATTCATTTAGTGTTGGTTCCCTGGGCTATACCACCAAGGGCTTCTTTTTTAAAGAAGTGATGTGCCTGGTCTCAACTTCTCTCTCCTTGCCAGGAATTTCCTAAGAAAAATCTATTATCCCCAGTGATTATCTTCTGAATCTTAACAAATAGAGACTTATTGTCCCCTTTCACTCCTACTGGTAACTTCCTTTAAAAACAGAGTAAATAGTCCTATGGCTATCATTGAAAATTAACTATTACACTACAGATATCATTAACTCAGACAATAATTTAATGAGCTAATTGTAATACAGAACTTCTTGCAAAGATTGAAATAAAAAACACACAACATATTTTAGGAGATGCCAGATTGAATTGCATACATTTTGAGTTCAGACTTTTTATAAAAACTTTCAGCTTTAATGATAATCAATGTAGAAAAGAAGAAAAATAAAAATATTCTCACCGTATTCAGATGCCACAGCAGGTGTTTCCACACCTATCCTATTTGATAGCTTCCAATGACTGAAGGAGATCTCAATATCAAATAGTGGTTTGTCACAAATATGCCTCAAATAATTAAAAAAATATTTGTAGGGAATCAAATTCTCTTTTCTTAGGTCCAGATGTGTTTTCAGAATGACATGTAATCTGGCTAAATCCTCTATGTAGAAGATAATCATGTTTCGTGCATGATAATTTGGCCATCTTTATTGCAAAAACAAAAATTATAGATAATTTTGATGAAGTGAATTATGCAAATACCATTTATATTTTTATATTTGGCTTTGACATAAGGGTTTATAGAGAACTTGTGCAAGTGTTATACACATGCACACACAGGCACAAACACACACACACACACACACACACACACACACACACACACTCTAAGGAATCTTCTCTGCCGCATCCTTAGTCCTTTCTGAGATAACCCATAATTCCAGTAATCTTCAGTTGAAATAATTAAGATTTCCCCTCCAAAGCCTGTTAGGGAAAAATATCAATGAACACAAGTGTTTCTAACCAAATATTTCGGAAACGTTTGCAAATCCCTTAAGTCACGCAATGATGGCATAAGGAAGAATATGGTGTTAGGAAGAAAATGCCCATCTGAAATAAAAACTAATGGTTAAAAATCACAACACATCAAAAATATTTTTCAAGGGTAATTTCCTTAATAAGTTTTTCCATTAAAATTTATAAAATACTCTAAAAGAGAAAACAGAACATTCATATAATCTTTGTTTTAGTTACTTTATCTTTACAACCAAGGAATTGTACTAGATGCTACGTTTTCTCAGCTCTAGTTTTTTTTTTTTTAAATGATTTTAGCCAACATGTTAAATTGTGTTCCACTATTTAAATCAATTGTTAATAGAAAACATGGCTTAAACTTATAAAGCCTAATCTATAACCCTTTTAATTTATAGATAACAAGGGCAAGTCCCAAGGAAGTAACTCGGCTACCCAATGTTACCCATCCATTCGGTTATCAATGCCACTTATTCCCTATCTTCCTAATCATCAAATCATTTTGCCTTTTTATTTGTTTTGTTTTATTAAAAACATCACATTCCCACTCCCCACACCTGGAAAATCTGCTTTAGTAATTATGGAGTGAGGTCCGAAATCTAATTTTGTAAGAGATTTTCGATATTCTGACTTGTACGTAAAGATCAGAACCACAGATCCACAGCCAACTACCTGGGATACAGTGATGCAGAGGCACAAGTAAGTGGCACAGTTCTTGGGCAGGCTCTCTGATGTCACACAGCAGCATCTTCCTAACAGGTCCATCATTTTCTGCTACCACCTCCCTAGTGTTTCCTCCCTTCCAGGTGAAATGCATATTACATGAATGACTCCACCTGTGTCTAGGTTATTTTTCTTTGATAGCCTTCCTAGGGTAAAGGATATTCCTGAAAGGAACAAGAATGAAAAGAGTGGATCGATACCATCTGCTTCAACCTCACATTCTAGAAACTGGTCGGCAAACTGCAGCTCGCAAGCCACATGTGGCTCTTTGGCCCCTTGAGTGTGGCTCTTCCACAAAATACCACGGCCTGGGTGAGAGAGTCTATTTTGAAGAAGTGGCATTAGAAGAAGTTTAAGTTTAAAAAATTTGGCTCTCAAAAGAAATTTCAATTGTTGTACTATTGATATTTGGCTCTGTTGACTAATGAGTTTGCCAACCACTGTTCTAGAAGTTTAACTCTGTTCAACTCCTAGAAACTCCCTTACTGGAAAGTATAAATCTGTCCATCACCATGCAACAGTCTTGAGCCTGTTAAGGCAGTCTGGGATTTGGAAATTATTTACTTGTGTATTATGAAGTGAATTTCTCTAAATTGCTAGAATATATCATAAGGAGAAGGCTCTTTGGATACTTTTGTCATAAGAATTTCTTGACCTTTTTGGTAGTGAGAAAAAAGCTTAAATAGACTTAATATCTAATAATATAGTTGGTTTTCTACAAACACAATGGGGAGCAAAATTGCTTCTCAGAGATTCCATGCACCTCAACATTTAGATATCTGTCAGTTCCCAATACAGATTTTATGTGTCCACAGTATGCAAATTGTGGTAAAAAAAAAATGTTTCCACCCCTAATGCTACCCATGGGTGCCAAAGTTTAGTTTAAGGCTTTTTTTATGTAGCACACTGGAAGAAATACATTACAATTCAGCCCTCAATAGAACATCATTTCTTATCTTCCTTGTTCACAAAGAAGTAAATTAATATTTTATTTACTAATTTTAGGAAAAAAGTAAATGACTTACCTCTAAAGATGAGAGACTCCAAATAAAGTAGCTGAACTAAAGCTTACTACAATTCTAATAAAGGGTAGAATTCAACATCATTTCATTTCTTTTTATATCCTATTTAAGGGACGTTTGTGATTGAATTAGACAAAACAATTCATTTTTAAGTCATGTTGTTTATAAGGCAGTCTCATGATACTGGCTCTGAGAATCAAGTATATATTTAAAGCCACAATAGACTACCAAATGGCATACAAAAGCTTTTGTGAACATTGTGTTTGCTTTAGAAGGCTGATCGAACCTGTGACAATTTTATTTATTTAAAAGAGTAAAATAGGAGATCAGTGGTATTATCCTTATATGAGTTAAGAAACTATTTAGGAGTTGCACATAGAAATCTACCAATGTTAGATATGTGTATAATTCTTATTTTTCAATGTAGTTGGGCCAAGGAAATTGTTAATATATGTACTTCAAATGTTTTTAGTGGATACCTAGGAAAAGGTATACAAAATATAAATAGTACTGTATATTTTCAAAAAATTTAAATAAACACAAAGAATATATAGGTATACATGTTATAATTTCAAAGTCAACGCTAACACATACATTTTCTTATCTAAATACACACTAGGATACTTCCTATTTCGACACATGCACCGACAAACACACGGCCATGCACATAACCTTGCTTCCTGCCACTTGCAAGAAAGTTAGTATATACAATATAGTACACTGTTCCAACTTAAATCATATTGGAAAATTAATGAGGATGGCATTAAAAAATTCTGGTCTAAGAAATCAACATGTAGGAAGGTAATCATTCCATACATTAAAAACACTGAAGACTGATGAGAAGTTAAGATTTAGATTGTCCCAAAAATCTTGAAAGACACTGTAGAGACAGGAGTGCCTGTAAACACTCAGAATCATCTGTTTGGCAATTGGGATCTTTGAAATCAAGCAATTCAGGCCAGAGACTCAGACCATCGGTGCTTCAGATCGCAGAGCAACAGTATAGCTTTGGGCAGTTCTCCGCAAGGCGGGGGGCGCCGATGGAGACCTCGACGCCCATCTGGATGGGAGGCGGCGATTTGCTGGTCTAGCTGGACGGGAAAATCCTTTTCCGGGTGAACATTTCACTGCCATGGATTCCTACAACACCAAAGGAAACATTCATCTCACAATCCCAGCATCAGCCTTGGCCTTGATATTTTATGATACAACAATGGGGTTAATGTATTAGCATATTTATAGGCAAGAAAAAGCATCACAAACTAATAAAGATTATCTAATATTTGTGATCTTGAATGTTTTTTAAAAAAATATATATTTTATTGATTTTGTTTAGAGAGGAAGGGATAGAGATAGAGAGCTAGAAACATCGATGAGAGAGAGTCATCGAATAGCTGCCTCTTGCACACCTCCTACTGGGGATATGCCCGCAACCAAGGCACATGCCCCTGACCGGAATCGAACCCGGGTCCCTTCAGTCCCCAAGCCGACACTCTTTCCATTGAGCCAAACCAGTCTTGGCATGATCTTGAATGCTTTAATCAAAGCAACTCACTTATAATGAGGGATATGACATTTAATAATCTCTTCACATTGACAAATTTTAACACAACTGTTCTCTTTTTAGATCTAACATTCAGTATTTAGAAGTTCATGTTAGGCAACTGGATATAATGGAACTGCAGATGTTTTTTGGTGGAATTTCATAATGGCTTAGTGTTATTTGAAAACAAGGTAATTTATAGAAGCAACTGCATTTTTCTCAAGTTACTGACATTTTTAGAGGTCATAGGCAAAAAGCACACAAACCATCAAGTGATTTATCTGATGCTTTCGTTCTTCTCCACTAAGAGCCACTGTTACAAGTTCTCAAAAATTTCAAAATTGCTAATAGTTACTATCAATATTGGGCATCATTTAATGACAATTTTTTTTCCTTCCCCCCTCTTCCATTTCTTTCACGTCTTCCTTCTTGGCTTTCTTTTTATTTTAGTGGAAGAAAAGCATTTTTAGATACTTGCAATTAAAAAGAAAATTAAAAAGCTTATGTGACCCATTTTATAACTTTGGTTGTTACTGATCTTTTTAACAAAGCCTTTGCTCTTTTATCTGGGGTAGGTAGTGAGAATGGCCTCAATTTCTATGACAGTAACTTGCATTTTCTTTGGAATTTATTTTTCTGGAAAGAAGAAGGACCTTAAGAATCCACAGTAGAGCACTCCTCCTGAGCCTCCAGTCAATGCAAAAATGGTAAGTACTTAGTAATAGTTCTTGTTAGCTAATGAGAACTTGACTGGTTATTATATACACTAGAGGCTCAGTTTATGAAATTTGTGCACTTTTGTGTGTGGAGGGGTCCCTCAGCCTGGCTTGCACCCTTTTATAGTCTGAGATCCCTTGGCGGAAGTCTGACTTAGCACTGCCCTCTGTGGGAGCTTCTGCATTGAGCATCTTCCCCCTGGTGGTCAGGATGCATCATAGCAATCGGTTGTTCCACCATCGGGCCAAAACCAGCTCTCTGAGATACCCTGAAGGGTCCTGGATTGGGAGAGGGTACAGGCCAGATTGAGGGACCCCACTGTTGCATGATCAGGGCCAGAGAGGGATGCAGGAGGTTGGCCAGACAGGGAGGGACCATGAAAGATGTGTCTGGCCTGTCTAGCTCAGTCCTGAATTAAAAGTTACAAAACAGTCAAGGGGATGTAAAATACAGCATTGGAAATAAAGTCAATAACATTGTAATAACTATGAATGATGCCAGATGGGTACTAGAAATAATAGGAGGAACACTTTGTAAAGTATATGATTGTCTAACCAGTATGCTGCATACTGGAAACTAATACAAAATAATATTGAATGTAAACTGTAAATGAAAAAAATCTTTTAATGTACCCGTATTTTCCAGTGTATAAGATGACTTTTGAAATGAAAAAAAGCCTGCTCAGATTGGCCAGAGTCACAGAAGCGGTCTATTAAAAAAAGAACTGGGCCGAAACCAGTTTGGCTCAATGGATAGAGCGTTGGCTTGGGGACCGAAAGGTCCCGGGTTCGATTCCAGTCAAGGGCATGTACCTTGCTTGCGGGCATATCCCCAGTAGGGGGTGTGCAGGAGGCAGCGGATTGATAACTCTTTCTCATCGATGTTTCTAACTCTCTATCTCTCTCCCTTCTTCTCTGTACAAAATCAATAAAATATATTAAAAAAAAAAAAAAAAAAGAACTGGTGTTGCCTCGGAAGTGGAGGGTAGTCTTATACCTATGTTTTAACTGTAAAATTAGGGGGGTCGTCTTATATGCCGGAAAACACGGTAGGAAAAAACAAAGATACAAAAACAGGATAATCATTTGTACATTGTGACAACTTGTACAAGTCTCTGGTAAAATGAATGAAAACTGACATTTTTTTAGGGTTTGAAAGCTATTATTAAAATATATTTTTTTACACAAGAAGAAAGTAATCTGCATAGGGTAGAACTATGCTGCCTACACACTGCGTTATGTAAAACAAGAACTTTTAAAGCATTAGCTAATGATAATAATATGTCACCTTGTAAGCTTTTGTAAATTATGCATACAAGGGGACTATTGGATAACTCTTTATTGTAAATACCAATCTCTTCTACATCTTTGTCACCTATAACTAATGAAGATTACACTCTTGCAAACTGTCTGGAACAAAAAAAGAATACCACTTATTCAAATACTTTTTTTGGGGGGAAAAAGGGGTACAACTTCCATGCAAAGAATTTATACAAATATCAATGACCTTAACATTTGTTAAGTGATATCATTTTTTTTTATTTCAATGTGCTGCCTGTTAGCCCCACACATAAGATAACTTTGTAAGATGCTATTTTAAATGATAAGTTTTGCCCATATTTTCATTTATGAGGCCAATCTCATGAGAAAAAAACATGAATCAAGTGCTAGGAATAATGTGTTAATAACCAAAAAGCACAAGCTATTTTTAAAATATTTCCCACATACTTTAAAAGAATGAAATTCTATAAATCAACAAACGCATACTCAAAATACCTTTTCAAAAAACTTAAACATTTGATCTTCTGGATGTTCTTAAACCTATCTATATTATAAATGGCTAATATGCAAAGTGTCCCCTCAGGAGTTGGACCAGGAGATCGGAAGTTCATTCACTCCCTATGACCACCAGGGGCAGCGTGGAACATGGCGGGCAACCAGTGATAGTGGGGCACTGAGAGAGGGAGTGAAGGAGAAGGGCAAGGAGGTGGGGAGGCAGGGAACCTGATCAGCTCTGATCACCAGTCAGGCCTAGGGACCCTACCCTTGCATGATTTCATGCACCGGGCCTCTAGTTTATATATTTATATTAGCCCATTTCAGAATTTTAAAAAGTTATAATGTGCTAACCCCAATTTTGAAACTATACTTTGAAAAGTTCCTTTGAGATACAATCCTAAGGTTCATAGTTACGAACAAGTGCAGGATCAAAAAGTTAAGTAGATGCTAAAACATGCACCTGCATTCTATTTATATGAATGTCAGGGACTGAGCCCTGAGCCATGGCTAATTGCGAATGCAGTTCTACCAAAGTAGGATCATTGCTTTCTCACCTCTGTTATCTTTTTCCAGTCCACTCCTTGCTTCACTTGTTGTGCCCTACACATAGCTGTTTTCCCTTGGAGCTCTTGTTCAATTTGGAGCATTTCTAAATGCTGACTTAATGTGGCCCCAACACTGACATCAGAATTACATTTGGTCCAATTATCCTGGCAGCATTTAGAATTTTGCAATACGGGCCCTGTTGATGTCTCATAGGTTTTCAGCAGCTTTTCCACAACACCATAATTTGACCTAGGATCAGCTGATCTTGGTCGGCCAGACAAATTGCTAGGTCTCCAGTCATGCTCGTGGAGCATATTCCGATAACTACTGGGAGTTATGTGCTCCTGTGTTTGTCTGACGGGGCCTGTTGTGGGTTTTTTGGTGGGGTTATCAGGCACATTTTCTCTAGGCACAGGCATGTGGGCACTGGTTTTCAGAATACCAGACACATGGTCATTTTCTGGTACACTGCCTAGAGGTGTATTTAAGGTATCACAGGGCTTAAGACCTTGAGACGATTCTGGGTAGCTTTGGTTTTGCTGTACTGCACGGCAATTTCTATCCGTTCTGAACACGGTTCTATTAAATTCATCAGTTTTTGCTGCCAGCGTTTCATTCCTAGTAGTCTTTTCAAAGCCACAACTGAAACTTCTAAGCGGGCCACTGCTCTGCTTCACCAAGGAACTAGAGTCATTGCTTACATGAAGGTCAGAGTGGAATTCAGCAGGATGATCTGGGGTCATCTTTTCATATTTTGACGTATTGGGAGTAGAACAGGTTTTCTGAAACCACAAGGTAGAAGGGCTGTTTTCTGTGCCTATCACAGTGTCGTAAGACCACATGCCAAATCCAGCATCTTCACGACACGGAGGCTTGTTAGCCATTTTGGCTCCAGATGCCAACGAAGAAAACAGGGTACCATCCTTCAAAATCTTCCCTTCCTTTAGACACAGTGAAGGCATCTCATCATGCCTCAGAAGGACATGCGGAGTGCAGCTCCTTCCTCCTTGACCCTCTTGGACCACCTGGCTACTGTGGTCTAAACTTTCCTTCAAACTCTCATGGGCTTGTTCAGGATACACGCTGGGAAAACTTCGAGATGTACTTCTGGGAGGAGGAGCTGGTGGAGTTTCATTTCTTTGTATTGGATCAATTGTATCAACTCCACATTTTTTCATAAAATTGCTTTGGAACATGTCAGCATAACTCAGATTCTTTCTATTTTTCTGTTTTTCTCTTTCTAAACTGATTGGAAGAACGCACTGGCCATTGTTGATCCCGTGGTCTCCAGGGGGCATGTTCATTTTATGTGGCATTTCCTGGAGAGAAGAATCTGATTTCATCCTAAACCATGATAAAGTAAGATATATTAGTGAAAACTTTATTTAGGAGAAGCTCAAAACAAAACAACATGGCGTAAGCAATAGACCTCTGCTTGAAGGAAAGGAGTCCCAACTTCCTGAAAATTTTTAGGGTCAAAGCCCTAAGTCTTTTTACTGTAGGACGAAGCCCACCTCTCAGTGCTACATTCAAGGCTCTGCTTACTCTGACCCAAATTATCCTTGGAATCTTGTCTCTCATTTTTTTCCATGTCCTAAAACTTCGCCTATACTCAGACTCTTGAGTGTCTGCTATGTTTCCCCGAAAATAAGACATCCTCCAAAAATAAGACCTAGCGCATGGAAAGATAAGACATTCCCTGAAAATAAGACCTAGTGCAACTTTAGGAGAAAAAAATTAATATAAGACACTGTCTTATTTTCGTGGAAACAGGGTAGCATTCCCATTTCTGCAGGTTTTCTCTAGATATAATACTTCCTTACCTCCACTCTGCCTGCTGAATTCCTATGCATTATATCATCTGAGCCATAGATAGTGTGACAGAAATCTGAATGAAAGTGCAGCAAGACCTGGGTAATACCAAATGGAAGGTGTTATTTGAGCTTGAAAGAAAAGTAAGGATTTTTGGGGTGAATCTAGGATAAATCGGCAAAGAGAGCTGCAGAAAAAGCAGTGTGGTTACTCAAAAAACAGTGAGTACTCTGGTATAGATGGATTATAAAGCTGAGTGGGAAGAATGATGGAAAATAAGTGAGAAACATTAAGTAATTGAATGTTTTTGAATTACATGTTAAGGATTTTGAAATTTTTCCTAAATGCCATGAAGTAACAAGGAGAATTTTATACTGATTTGTAAAAGAAAATTGGCAAGTATTCAGAGTTCATTGAAATGAAAACCTAGCCAGGACCGGTTTGGCTCAATGGATAGAGCGTCGGCTTGGGGACTGAAGGGCCCCGGGTTTGATTCCGGTCAAGGGCATGTACCTTGGTTGCGGGCATATCCCCAGTAGGGGGTGTGCAAGAGGCGGCTGATCGATGACTCTCTCTCATTGATGTTTCTAACTCTCTATCTCTCTCCCTTCCTCTCTGTACAAAAATCAATAAAATATATTTTAAAAAAAGAAAAGAAATGAAAACCTAAATATATCAACAATGGGGATTCACAAATTAAAATTAACCATATTGATAAAATATAAATCATATTTATATCTCTTCAACTTATAAAATATTGTCTGCTCGTTCACAATAAAGTATAGATAAATACTAATTCATAGTAGACAAAAGTAACTGGGCAAGTAGAGAACAAAATTATGGATAAAAAAAGGTTAAAGAAAATATGTTTTAAGTCAGTACAAAAATTCTCTCTAAGCTTCCGAAGAGCTCAAGAGAAATAAGGGTACAGAGTGCTATAGCTTTTTTGTTGTTGTTGTTAATCCTCACCTGAGGATATTTTCCCACTGATTTTTAAAGAGAGTGGCAATGGAAGGGGAGAAATAGAAAGAAACATCAATGTGAATCGGTTGCCAGGGCTGGGGATCAAGCCTGCAACAAAGGTATGTGCCTTTGACCAGCATTGAACCTGGGACCCTTCATTCCATGGGCTGACGTTCTCTCCATTGAGCCAAACCAACTGGGGCACACTGCTATCGCTTTCTAAGAGAATCATCCCGCCTCACCAGGAGATAAAGGTTGATCCCAGGACAACCGACCACTACCTAACTTGTAGAAAATTCCAATTTATTTTTTAATTTGGCTAAAACTTGTTTTTACAATTATAGAGGTATTTCTGAGTTGAAACACTATTTTTATAGCACTGTATAAATGTATACACATATTTCCAATATGTTCTGAAAATCACATATGCTTCCATTAAACACATATAATAATAAACTAGAGGTCTGGTGCACAAATTTGTGCACAGTGGGGACCCTCAGCCTGGCTGGTGATCAAAGTCTATCGGAGGGCCAGCCAACTGGTGTGAGGGACTACAGGAGGTTGGCTATGGGAGTGCCCTGACTACCAGCTCATTGAGTGTCTGCCCCCTGGTGGTCAGTGCAGATCATAGAGATTAGTCAACTGGCTATTCAGTCATAACTGTCACTTAGGCTTTTATATATATATAAATGTAGATAAATAAATGACCCTTAGGTATAAAACATTTTAGTGCAACATTATTATGTAATTAAAACACAATGTTATTAAATCTGACATAGTTTGATGTTGTATTTAACTGGATTAGCCCAGTTGTATACTCTTCCATTGGCTAAATATTCAAAATGAGAGAAAAAAAAAAAAACCCACACTATTTAGAAGATACTTGCTAGTTTATGATGGATGGCATCCTTTAACTAAATACCAAAAGAGTAATGTATTCCTAATTGTCAAATTACAAAGAGAATTATAAGACCTGTTTTAAGAATTAGCAAACGGGGAAATAAATAATGATTAGAGATTTTATCACTTAATCCAAGACAGCAGATTCCAGTAACTCATTGCTAATTACCACTAACAAAGTGTACGGAATTCACTGACTGGAAGCAGTATTTTTCTTGATTTCCCAATGTAAAATAATCATAGATGTCCCACCTACCTTCTATGGTGAGACCTCTTTCGGATTTCCTCTTGGAAGCAGCACAATTCTTCACTGACTTTGGCAAGTTCTTCAAGAGCCTTTATGTGTATAAGTAATAGCGTGTTAGCACTTTGAAATGTGAATCATTCCTTAGAAACAGTTCTAGGCCAGTCATGTTACTTACTGTGCTGAGGGCGCCAGAGCAGCCCTTGCTCACATCTTCAGAAATCCTCAGGTCAGGCCAGGCTTCACATTCCTTTTGGCTGTCTGTGGCCAGGGGATCCGCAAACCCTACCTTTTTGGTTGCTTTTTGTTCCTTACACATTTGATTTCCTTCACTGAGTAAGCTCTGCTCCGTTCTATTTTCTTTTTCCAGGCCATCCTTGTGGTTCCTCCCTGTAAATTCGCATTGTCCTGAATTGGGGTAAGGTTCCACCACTTTATCTCGCCTGACTTTCTCATGATCAAGATCAATGACCTTGGCACGTTCACTCATGTTGAGCTTCCTCCGAAGCTTTACTTCATGGCAAAGCTATAAGGAAAACAAAGGTAAGACTTTTTCCCCTCCTTTATTTACTTTGTCATATTTTTTAAGCTAAGCACAATTTTGGGCTCTCTTTGTTATATGACTATATACTATATGTGAAGAAAAAAAGCAACATTACAGCCCTTCTCTCTCCTTGATGCAGAAAGTAACAGTATTTCCATGGACTATCAATCTAAGTTTAAAATATGCTTCGTGCCTGCTAATTGATAAGGCTAATATTTACCATAGATGGAATCTACAGAGCTCTCAGAATTATTATTTTACAATAACAAATTTAACCAGACAGCAGATTGTGTTCATGACATGGCTTACCCCATTGGTTAGATTAATCCTGACATTATTTTGTTTGGATGCTAGAATTATCTGAGACTGTTACTAACTGGACCTTCCAAATTTTTCAGAGCCAATGTCCCATGACTTCAGGTTTCTGATTGGAGCTGTGGATTCTGATTTGACCTAGGCATCTCCTTATTGATCCAATATGAGTCTCGGGATGGAGGAATGAAGAGTGAGCAAGCCCAGCCAGTATGGCTCAGTGGTTGAGCGTCAAACTATGAACCAGGAGATCACGGTTCAATTCCTGGTCAGGGATCATATGTGGGTTGCAGGCTCGATCCGAAGTGTGGGGAGTGCAGTGATTCTCTCTTACTATTCATGTTTCTCTCTTTCCCTTCCTTTCTGAAATCTATCTATCATCTATCTATCTATCTATCTATCTATCTATCTATCTATCTATCTATATTTTTTTTTTTTAAGAGAGGGAGCAAACACCTTTTCCAAGCTATCCAGAGATGAGTAGGGGATTCTCCATTCAGTCCCCAATTATACACTACTAGGTACTTGCCTGCCTTCTCCCATCTACCTTCGAGGAATAGTTTAATAGCTACTCTTTTAAAAATGTTTTCTTGTAGCATGCCAATTTGTATTTTATTCACAACCAATTACATGGCTGTTAATATAAAAGTATTTTCACTACAAACACATAAAGCACCAGCTTTTATTGTCTCTGAATAAAGGCCAAAAAGTCTATGAAAATAATTGCTTTGGCAATGTGCACCAAACCATGTAAGTCAATACCACCGATGTTACCAGAAGAAAGCAAGGTAAGTATGAATACTTTGCAGTTGTAACAAGCTCAAATACACATCAATGTGAATGCTTAAAGGGAATATTCTGGGCTCAGCATGCTGACGCAAGGTTAACAGGGGACTAAATGACTGTATCGGGTTCACAGCATGCCATTTTTCATTGCCATGGTAAATGGGGCACAGCCTACCAGAATAAATACCATGTCCATTGCCATTTTCTGTTTAAGAAATGGCTCTCCTTCTGATTTTACTGAATAACCTAATATATAATTACCTTTAGTAGACATTACTCGTAAATCATCTCAGGAAAGATCTGCATTTTAATGCTCATTTATAATTTGGCTAATTTGTTTTATCAATTATGTCTTCCTTACATTTTCCTCCTGGATTCAATATTTGAAAATCATGGAAAAATACACAGTTTCTTTTGATACCAAGATACTCTAGTCAGAAAAATAATAAAATGATACACTTTAGAGTGACATTTCAAGTTCTCAATTTTCATGCCAGGCTACAAAATAAGCTTAGAACACCTGATACCATTGGGTAAGGTGACACTATTTTTGGTGCAGTAAATGTCACTGAGACAAGCATCTCTTACGTGGGATACAGAAAATAAAAATAGTTTATAATGTTAAAAAAAAAAATCTTCAACAGCATTTTCATTCTGAGCTTTAAGTTTCAAAATGTATTCAAAACAAATCAACCTGTACCTCTTCTATCTTCTTCTGCATAATCTTCCATTGGGTTTCCCATTCCTTCCTTTCATTGTCAAACTGGTCCAGTAACTCCATTTTTTCCTTGTGCCAGGCAGTCCCTGTGTTCTCCCACTGCTTGTGCAGGTCCATGGCAACCACGTGCGTGTGAGTGAAGCTGTGTTTCTGCTTGTCTCTGCTTTCTCTTAACTGTTTCTTGGAAGCTTAGAGTTGTTTTTTTTTGAAGCAGTCTCACTTGCCTTTAAAATAAAGCCTATTATAAACACAAGAAGAGAGAGTTCCAAACCCATCTGCTTTCTGGCAATATTTAAGCACTTTGTCAAGAGCCATCGACATAAATTATAGGAAAATTGGACTTAGAAGAAAAGAGGTGGCAATCTATTAAAGAAGAAACAAACACAGTAGTAAAAAAAAAAAAAAAAAAAAAAAAAAAAAAAAAAAAAAAAAAAGTATTGTCTAAAGTTCTTCCTCCCTCCTCCTGAGACCAGACAGCAAAATTAGAGTGGATAAGATGGTTAAATGTATTTGTGAGATATAACAGTTCCTTTAACTAACCGCCTAATCCAAACATAGAATTTTTCATGGCTATCTAAGAGCGGAAGCCTAAAATTCAATCGCATGGTCACATCTACACAACCGTGGTAGTTTCTGCTGCAGCAGAATGACGCCTTCTGTTTGATTATACAACGAGATTATATATTTCTGTGTCTTAAAGTCCTGAGACAGTGCTGACCTAGAGTCTCAATTTTATATTCAGAGTTCAAGCCCATCCCAAGTGTTATTAATAAGACCCCAAAGTTGGGAAGTCAATCTAGGACTGGTATATTGGCAAGAAACCAAACTAAATCACACAAAAAATATGTTCATTATTTTACTTCAAGAAAAATGTAAAAGCAGCAAAACTATTCTGAGAGTCAAATGTTAAAATGTATCCATGCTCTCTTTTCCTTCTAGTAGATTATAAATCAGAAACGTTTTTAGGATACTGAATACAGAGAGGTAATGAAAACATTTTGCTCAGTTTGCAGGGAAATCCTCAATCACATTAAACAGTACCTAAAATAATTAGATTTCTAGTATTTAGGGTTTAAACATGTAATTTAAAATATCAAATTAGCCCAGTTGGCCTGGCTCAGTAGTTAAGCACTGACCTATGAACCAAGAGGTCAAGATTGAATTCCCGTCAGGGCACATACCCAGATTTTGCAGCTCGATCCCCAGTGTGGGGCATGCAAGAGGCAGCTGATCAATGATTCTCTCTCATCATTGATGTTTCCATCTCTCTCTCCCTCTCTGAAATCAATAAAAATATTTTTTAAAAATACCAGATTAAAAATCATTCTATGGCTTTCACTGAAAATTTTTTTTATTTGTATAGTCATATAGATGTTTAATGGGTAGAGAAGTATGTTTAACATATTTGAATCTCAGTCTGATAATCGTTCCTAAAAGAAATATAACTCTTCAGGTTTCTAGGTCATGACCAACATGTTTTAACTTAGCAAGTGGCACTTTATGCTAATGATAAGCAATCGTCCCAAGAGTTAATAGCTGCCTGGGTGCTGGAATTGTGGGCTAAAGCCAACATACCTATGAATTTAATTTAACAGAAGATGGTTGCATATCATAGCGCAAATATAAGAAAAATGTTGAAGCCTAATTTAAATTTTTGTCAAACTGTTCTGAACACGCATATCTGAGTGGTAAACTGTTCCAAGCATCTATTGAGTGAATTACTATAATAGACTAATAAGGAACTATAATAGACTAATAAGGATACTATATCAATGAACTATAATAGACTAATAAGGATAAAAATGTTAGTGCTGCATACAGCACTCCACCTTCAAAAACATCCTAATAATATTGGGATCTGTATTATTATTTTTTCCCCAACAATTTGCTAGATACTTGGATCATTTTTACCTATTTCTGTGGCACATCAACATGACTAATGCACTGAAAAAAAGGAAGTATCTTCATATTTAACCATTAAAGATTTTTCCAATTAGCCACGCTTTTCTTCTAACCTCATTTTCCACCCTTGACATCCTTCCTTCCTTTTTCAACCTTCTACACTTATGAGCCAATGACCATAAGTACCTGCTATAACAAATATAAATTGACCCCAACCAAGTACATCAATGAAGCCCTAACAAAATGAAGATAGTAAAAAATATACAGAATTTTGGTTTTTGTTTTGATGCATCTGTCACTGATTTTGATCACATCTTTTAGGTTAATTTAATAACTATGCACAGGATATGCAAGCAGTGATTATTTTTAGAGTCTAGCAGACCGCTTTAAAGCTACATGTAATCAACTATGAACTGAAACTATGTTGTTTACTGGTAGGTATTTAACATTGGAACTTCTTAGGAAGAGTGGAGTGGCTTAAGACATTAAGAGAGAGTTGCACATTTAACCCAAATCATAGAAAGGGGGCAGACTAATTTCAAAACACCTGGAAAAGATGTGTTATGAGAGTCTATATTTCATCTTGGTAATCTTTAAACACTGGGATGGGTAAGAGGTCACCATAAAGTTGCTCCTACAATTAGTTGGCAAGTGGCTTCAATTTTTCTTCCTATTCCCAGCTCTTCTTGAACCATTTCCAGACCAGGATTAAAGGTGACACACCCTTTTCTATTTCACCTAACTGAAGATCACACAGGCAAACTCTAAGTCAGGTGGCTCCTGGTAGGAGGCTGATACATGAACTCAGATGCATGCTTCCAAAGCAGACATAACCCTGCACCCAACTGCAAAGAGCCAAACTCATCGCTTACCATGGAGAAGGGCCAGTCTACAAAGCTTCCCAGAGCCAGAACAATTCTAAGCGCCAGGAAATGTAATGGTTGTGGATAAAAAACAAGCCTTTGACAGAAAATTCCTATAGAGCAATATCTGCGCCAATTTGGGGGGATAGGGGATGGGGGATTTATCTTGCCCTCTTAGCATCTGTCTTACAAATGTCAAAGGTAAGATGATCAAACATGGTGCTTTCAGCTCTAAAAATAAAGTGTGGGGCATAGAGTTTTGAGGATCAAGTGAGCGAGGAAGGGAGAAAAAAAGCGTTTTGGATCATAGCAGGTGTTTGAGAAATGTCTGTTTCTTGGTTTCTTTTTTCTATCCCTTTCTCCGTCTTTTTTCTTGTCTTCCCTCCCTCACTGTTCTTTCCCCTAAAATGAAATTTATGGTTTTGATCTTTAATTAGACAATTGATAGAAGCAAGTCTAATGTGTGAACTCTCATATTTTCAATAATTTCCCTATGAATTCAGTAGTTTTCTAGTATTTTAAGGATTCATGGAAGGTTAAATATTAGAAAAAAATTTATTAGTAAACATTTGAATAAAAAAATCTTATATAAAGCTGCTTTTGTTACTATTCTCATTAAGTATATATTTTATAAAAACCCAAATAATAAAGCAACTTGTAGGAACATAATGTTCTATAATGAGAAGTTATGGGACCAAGTGGTTCACCAGATTCAAAAACTCAATTTCAGTGTTCCACCGAGGCAAATATAAAAGTCCTCTTTGTTCCTTATTGTCACTCTTTTTCGCCCACAGATGTTGGCATCTGTGTGGGAGAGAAGAAAGGATTTCTGCTATGTGTACCCCTTCTTATTTCATTTCATCTCTCCCAGACTTTCATTCAGAATAAAAATTAATTAGGGCAAATGTAAAAGAGTAGTGAGCCGCACTACTCAGTCATGCACAAGCTCTTACCCCAACAGCTCCAAGTCAGCATTACACAATCCATCTAAGCTACACCCCCTCCCCAAGGCTGCAAGCCAGAGCCTAAATAGGGTGACGGGAGGGAAATAGTTCTGTTAACCTTCCGGCCCTGGTGCTCAGACTAACACAGGAATCTCCTGATAAATCATTGTCATTTCCTAATTTAGCCTCAATGGGTCGTGGCACCACTTCTTTGTCGGAGGGGAGCTCCATCCCTGCTCCTCCCGGATATCACTAACTACCATGTCAGTCTCCCCAGAGAACACTGGACATTAGCCAAGCACATGAAACCCTGGTAGGGAACTTGACTTCATTGCTCCTTCTCTCTTCTGAGATTTTCGTTTAGAGTACTTGTTTCTTGCTCTCCTAGTTCCTCTTTCTAAACATATTGTGGACATTGTTTTCATTTGTAGGAGGTTACAAATTCCAATAGGAATACCACACGCAGTAGGTACCATCAATCTCACGATTCCTAGAATCATTTGCCCTGGAGATGCTCTGCTTCCTCTTAGCGTGAAGGGCTTAGACATTCCCACATCAATACCCATCAGAGTAATGCACACTTACCTTGAAGAGCATCTAAGCCCTATCTCTGGGCCATTAGAAATCGCTTGCATCATTTCCACTAACGAACAGACCTTGTTCCTCCCCGATTGCTCACTGGCAAATAGATCTTTCCAAAGACAGCCACGGTTTGATTTTGTTACAGGGCAAAGGGGAATAATTGTTCTTGCTGTTTCAACATGTTCCTTGTGTTCCAGTAAGGTCAAAGATAAGATACTACCACATGCAATTCTCAAGAAATCAGTGTTGCCTTCTCATTTTGTGATCTTTCCTCCTTCCTCGTTTTCTCTCCAGTTCTATACTCAAACTACAAAACACCCAAGATATAGGTGTACTGATCTTACATCTCCCATAAAACAAAGCTTTGAAAGAAACTGTTGGCTTGAGTACACAAAAATAACTAAAATTAACCTCTTTAAACGGAACATGTGGTGGTCAAGTTCCTACCTACCCACAGATTAATCCCTTATGAATGGTATACTCTTCAACTCAAATGACAGAAGCACTTATCATGCATGCAATGAGCAAACCAACGCCTTGGATGAAACTAAATTTGTTTATTACGTTTCACCACAATTTCCAAATACCAACAACCTCAAGGGTTGTGAGCTTTACTAAAGGGTAAAAAAAAATCTTCACCCTATTGAAAATAGCATGCTAGTAAATAAAGTCAGTGAACTCCATGGTAGGAAAGATGCTATTCGAAGAACTGAGAAGCAGTGTCTGAAAAACAGTGTCTGAGAGCGGATGGCCCTGTCAGTCCTGAGTTGGGAAATCCGCTCACAGCAGCTGAAGCCTCTGTTACCCGGGAGTCGGTAAAATCCGT